GAATGAAAACAGTGAGTAAGGTTGGGATGTTGTTTGGACCTGTGTCCTCTTTTCATAATGGTGAAAAAATTAAAAGGGTTAAAGCAAGCTTAGGGCACGGTCACATAGGTTTTTACAAACGAACTTGGCCAAGTGGCCCGGATCGTCGCCACAGGGGTGTGAAAACGGCCCGCCGTCACATGAACGTGTCCTCTGAACCGTGCCGGAGAAACTTTGCTGTAGTACGATGCCCGGTCCAGCTGGTGGCGCAAATAATAACTTCAGCGACTACCATGTTTTCCAAGTTGAGTTTCCGCTTCTTTTCCTGTTTACATTCTGCTACTGTAGCTAACAGACCCGAGCATGCAACACGTTGTTTGCATCAGAGCAATGTGAACCAGTGTGAGATGTCTTTCCCCAAAATGCAGCGGTGCAGACAACACACAGACATGTGTTGTCTGTGTGTGCGGGCGTGCCGCAGAAACGGGAGCGCGCCTTTATAGTAACGAGTGTAAAGCCCGGGTCAAATCACAAAGCGGGCCCTGGCACACTTAAACCGGGCTTTAGGCTGCGCATGTGACCGCAGCCTAAATTTAATTTTCATCCCTTTATTATTCAAAGGAAGATGGCTGCTCCTTCAATGCAGATATGGCTTTGGTGTTTCAGTGGGGGCTTCAGGCAAAGTGAGATTAAGTGCCTTGCCCAGGGACACAACAACCGCAGGCATCAGTGGGAGCAGATGACATGTGTCGTGATGGGATCGAACCCACAACCTTTAGGTCCAAAGACCGCTCTACATACTGAGCCACTGTCGCCCCTAAAAAATGTACTCACAGTCCAACAGTGGGACTATTTCAGGGGTTTCCTCCAGGTGCCCCGGTTTCGACTACAGCTAAAACATGTACAGTAGGTAAAATCCTCCAGCTCTGATCCTGTGATAGAGCGACCACTACTTTTTACAGCAGAGGCCCTTGTGACATTGCAGTATGGGTTAAATGCAAAAGACCTCTCTAAGGGATAAAAAAAGTTCACCTATACCTACACCTTTTTATGTTGTTGTTACACTAGGTATTGTCCCTCATGTGAGTAGTTCAATAATCTTCTTCACCTGAACCACATGTACGCAAGAGCCTATAAGACATTTGGTAACAACTCGTTCTGACACCGGCCCATGACGCTCAGAGTAATGAAGGTGCAACCCGGTTTTTGGTCAGAGAAAAAACAAAACGGTAAGGAAAGCTCGTCTGTGGATCGCTAACTTGATCTGCTTTTAATGTCATCATGTCTCACTGAAGTCGCATCAAGGGCAGAGAGCAGATCCATCCGGCAGGACTGAATTCATCTCTTTGTCTTTTATTACAGCGATTTAGATCAATACAAAACCAAAGCAGGTTGCGGACCTTTGTGTACTAAACCATATTTCAGCATATGGCTTTGAACTCCAAAACTGAAAATAATTATTCATATTTCTCTCACTTTTTATGGAGCGCTCTTCTACAAACAAAATTTACAACCCGTCTGATAAGAACAGAGCACGTCAGCCTCTCTCTTTGAACCACAATGTACAATTTATTTCTTTTATGCCGCAAAATTAATTGTCTGTCATGTGGAGACGCACTCACAAAACACTGTGTGACAGGGACAGCTCAATCTTTGCATTTTAACTGGCAATAAATGAACTTTTTCAAAACCCCCGGAGAAAAATTATAAGTTGTATTGAATGAATGCAATTAGTGTTTGGACTTTGAGGTGAGTTCCAACAGAGTGGAGCCTAAAACCAGCTTTCATTGCTTCAAAAATATCAGTTTACACAACATATTACAAAGTACTACTTGTACTAAATATAGATACATGTCTATCTAACTTTAGTAGATAAACAAATATTCCTTGTGTCTTGATATTGTTAAGTAGGAATGTCAAAACTAAGGTCGAGGACATGACGTTGTAAGAAAGAATCTGAATTTTACCACTCTATAATATAGTTACAGTGGTTTTGAAATGTCACAGAGGGATTGACATAAATATATACTCTTGCAGTCAAATGTTGTTTGTATAGTAAATATACTGTACTGCATGTACATACATTAACATATATCTGTAGTGTCTGCACAGACCAGCACTTACTCAGAGGTGGCAGTGATCAATGTTTTTTAACTGACACATTTGAGAAGAAAAAAAGTCTTAATCTAATACTAAATGAATGAAAGAATAGAATCTGTCCATGACACACATGACGTCTCACTGCCTTCAGGATTATAACATGAGTAATGGAGACGTGAAGGAGGGTATTGCACACATAAGCTCTCTTGCTTCAGCCTACTCCTTTTGAGCTCCTACCGAGATGTGATAATGTAAAGCTGTAACAATATTGAAATGTAAGCAGCTGTAAGTAGTGATCACCCACATCATCGGAAACATGTCAAAGGAAACGCAGGCTCCTCTGAGACCACAGAGACTTTGTATTCATGTGTAACATAGTTGCACAGAGAATCAGCCTCAAATCACAGAGTCAGAAAAGAAAATGGGCGAACAGAGAAAGTAAGAGCAGTATCCGTGTGGGGAGACGCGGCGTCTGGAATGTAAGAGATTATGTGACTCAAACATTATCCCCACAATTTATTTTTGGAGAAAGCTGTCCCTATTTCATGAACTGTATTAAATAGGACTGACCCTACACCCACTAAGTCTGTTCTGAGTGAAACTTAAAACAGCATGTATTTGATGCATAGCCTCATTGTAGACAGTCTTCATATCACAGGAACTGGATCATAAATCCCTCTTTCGCCTCCTCATTCTATACCATCTATTTTTCAAAACGCCAGTTTTCTGAACATTGATGTTGTGTTTGACATCAATGCAATCAATTCATATTTAATATAACATTCCTCAGTAGACATTATACCACAAACTTTACAAATCAAACCAGATTTTCTTCTTGAGGGTCCGTGTACGTCGCGGCCATTCTATTTTTGATTAGGAAAGAAAATACAAAAAACGAATATTGGCCGTTTCCCGTTTTCCGTTTTCAAAATAAAATGTAGAAAACGAGAATTTAATCCGTTTTTCGATTTTGTGTTTTAAAATTAAAAAACGGATAACGAAAAACAGGTCATAATCCGTTTTTCCATTACACATTTACACAAGAAACACCAACATCGAAAAACCACGGCAAAAATTTGATTTTCCATTCTTGATCTTATTTTGAAGCTGACCCGGAATCTGTTAACCATGCCTACCACAATGCCAATTAAAGATTACAAGATATAGAATAATATTAATGTATATCAGCGGACACCATTAGCCTTTTTAGATGGCTAACCGTTCACTAGCATAAACACAGTAGGTTTTGCTATTTAAATTTATAAACTTACCTGGAAAATGGTGCCAATCTTATCCACTGTCATGTCGACATCTTTTAAAGTAACCCATTTGCTGTCTCGATACAAAACAAAAGTTTTCTCCAACTCTGGTATCTCCATTATCATTCAAAAAACTGGAAAACTCTGACTGTGCGGGAAAGCCTCAACAGCTTCCGGGTCAGCTTCAAAATAAGATCAAGAATGGAAAATCAAATTTTTGCCGTGGTTTTTCGATGTTGGTGTTTCTTGTGTAAATGTGTAATGGAAAAACGGATTATGACCTGTTTTTCGTTATCCGTTTTTTAATTTTAAAACACAAAATCGAAAAACGGATTAAATTCTCGTTTTCTACATTTTATTTTGAAAACGGAAAACGGGAAACGGCCAATATTCGTTTTTTGTATTTTCTTTCCTATTCAAAAATAGAATGGCCGCGACGTACACGGACCGGCACCTCCAAAACCCATGTTGTTGCATTCATGTTTTGACTTTTTCCGAATGGCAAAAAAGCAGAAGTCACTGGAACCAGTATCCACATCTGACTTTAAAACATTTTGTATATATTCTTGTTTGTGTTGTTTTTTGTGTGTAGTTTTGTTAATGATTGAATACATACAGTAGGTGCACTACATCATCATTTGCCCATAATTGAAAACTCTATACTTATGCTCCCATCATGTTAGGTACAGCAGCTTTAAATGTGTGAATGACAAAAGAAAAGCAACAATAGCAAGGACCAAAAACTGTGTCGATTTAGCATGTCATAATAATACACACATTATTCAACATTAGCATGACAGTGATGCTAGGGCCACACACTCCCTGAGGTTTCTCATTTTTCTCCCACTGGGCTTTAGAGTTTTTCCTCTCTGATGCAGGAGGGTCTGTTAGACTTTTAGTTGGTTTAACCAGAAGGACTGTGGTGATGATCCAGGACACTCTAACAATCTACAACATGTATGGACACTTATCAACAATCATGGACATTGGTCTCTCACTCTGGACCAAACCCGATGTGTTCTATATGTTTGAGTTAGCAATTTCAACGGTTTTGCAAAGTCTTCTGAGATAACTAGTTTTGTGATTTAAGGCTATACAAAATTGAATTGAATACTGTCAATTATGTCTATGAACGCAACTTTATTTGATAATTTAATAACAATAATATTAACCCTACAACCATTTACAAATGTTTTTTTGGGTATTTATTCATTCACTGTATGCATGGTAGTGATAAACAACTACTATAGCCACAGCTGCCTTTGGGGAACACCCACAGAAGCGAGGCAACCAGTATATGCCATCAGCCCCTTTGACCACCATACGACAACTCATTCTAAGCAATCTGTGGGAAGTAGCTTGCCCCAGGACGCAACAACAGTTTAGTACTTTACAGCCGCAGCAACCCATTTAAATGCACTATTGAATTCATAGGCAAAAATTCTCAGTTCTATATTAATGATCTGTGTTTCCATGCACTATGCAAAAACGTATTGCATGGATTGAGGTTTCTGTCTTTTTAGCATGGACTTAGAGATACGGCCTGTGAATCTGAAAGTACCCTCTAACCCCTAACTCAAAACCAATCAGCTCTGCGCTCTTATAGACACATACTGTCACACACAATTCTACAGAAATGCCCCGTTCAAACTTCCGCCTCACCCGTGACGTGGAAGGTGCAGCGGCCCGCCCCGGCCTCGTTGATCACGTTGCAGGTGTACTCCCCCCAGCCGTCACGGTTCAGGTTCCGGATGGTGTACTCTGTCTCGTCCTTGTGAGTGTCGAAGGCCCCGGCATGGAGCAGTCGGTTGGACAGCAGCCACTCAAAGCGAAGCACGCGGGACGGATGAGCGCGCAGGACCCGACACGTCATGACCACGGGACGTCCCAGACCCTGCCGCATCTCGGTGAAGAAGGGCTCCACGGTGGGCGGGTCTGAACAGAAGGGGAGACAGGGAGTGGGTGAGAATCGGCTGGGATGAAGGTTGTGTTGAAGACGACAGGGAATAATGCAGCTACACCTGAAATGAAAGATCTACATTAGAAACATGATGAAAGTGAAAGTAAGTTCATGTTGTAGAATTGTATTTCAGTATTTCATGCAGGTGCCAATGCAACTCTATGGGTAAAAACAATATATCTAAATGTTTTCCCATATCATTATTTGATTGTGATTAGATTCACAAATCCACCATCTTACTCTCACATCCATAAAAAGTCTTGTCTACTGGCCAACATCATGCATACAGTATGTTGGATTTTCTCACCACTTCTAGTAATTGAGTAAGTAATGTTTATTTATATAGCGCATTTCACAGACCAAAGATCACCCAAAGCGCTTCTAGACCTTCTAGACTTCTAGACCTTCATCAGAAATGTATTACTGTAACAATGTGCAAGTTTTCATGTGGATTAGCCCTTCAAATATCTAATACTCTAAGATTTCTTACAGTTAACAGTCAAAACTGTTCATTTGACTGGATAGATATTTCAGTGTTAAACTAAAGGTTTTTTGGAGTGTGCTGATGTCATGTAACCAACCTATTTCAAATTCTTTTAAAATGTCATGTTATCTTAAAATGTTCTCAGTGTCGGACATGTCATGGATGAAAGGCAAGGCAAGGCAAGGCAAGTTTATTTGTATAGCACAATTCATACACAAGGCAACTCAAAGTGCTGAACAAGATAGCATTAAAATCATAAATAATCACAGAACATTAAAACGAAAGATAAAAATATAAAATCCCTCAGTTGTATGCACAGCTAAACAGCACCGTTTTTAACTTGGCTTTAAACATTGTCATTGTATTTGTTCCAAGACAACATTGAAAGAAGTTATAATCTTAGTTACCATTAGTTACCATTTGATTACCAGTAACCATTACCTCCTTGAGAGAAAGGTGTAAAGGACATAACACAAGCAAACAGCAAAACAAAAAAAAATAAAAATGTAATTCTTCTATTTGCATTCCACTCACTCCAATCTCTTTTGGCGTCAATCTGCGTCTAGTCAAAACGCTATTTCTATGTGGATCCATTATGCAGCCCAAACCCAAATGTCCCCTTTCCTGTGAGAAAGAACAGCGGCACAGCGTGATAGACGACACACGGAGAAAAGTTGGGATTTAAATCACATTGCAAATGGCGAACAGGATGATGGAGTACGGCCCGGGCTCTGAATGTAAAATTAATAAGTCATTGAGCCGTGTGACAGTCTTCACCTTTTCCCCGGAGACTGAAGCCCTCTGTGCATTATTCAGCTGCTCCTCCTTTCAATGTGACCTCCAGGGGGCGTATGCACTGAGACGAGATCATTTGTGCTGATGCTAATGTTGGCTCTTTATATAGTTTAGTGGGAATTACTGAGGCTTTTGGATGAACTTTATGGACACCTGGAAGGAAATGTGGTCCAAATCTGTATTTCTCAGTGCATTATGTTGGATTTTTCTGACATTGTAATGACAATAAAGTTGAACCTAATATAATCTAATCCAACTCCAACCAACCTCCGCCTTAAAAAAAGAAAAAATCACGTCCAGGTTAACACTATTGATCATCAAGGGAACCAATTCTATCTTAAAAATTATATACTTATTTCATAACAAACATCTAACTTTGCACATTTGAATAGACTCAATATAATTCATTGAAAAAATACCCAAAACTAATGCGGAGACAATACTGTTACTTCAAGGTACAGTGAACAGCTTTGAGTCCGAGAATTTCTCATTAACATGTCTGAAAACCAAGCTTTTAGACTAAATAAAATGGCGTGTTTGAACCGGAAGTCTCTCAAATTAGCGAGGATTAAACTAAAAACAACTCGAGATCAGAGAACAATGTTGTATCAGGGTAAAACTCAAATGAGATGATTTTGCACAATCTCTTGAACATAACAGGGGTCAACAGCTTCAACAAGTCGAGTTAATAAACCATCATTCCCCCTTTTGTAAACCGCAACCAAAAATCACTGTTATTGTTAAAAACCATTATTCTTGGTCTAAAATTTTGCACGCTCAAACGCAGTCGCCGTGGGGCTCTGGGATAAAAATAAATAATAACAGGCGAGTGGAGGCTTAATGACACAGAGACACTTAATTACCAAAATTTGCATAATTTTTGAAGGAGAAAAGGCAGAAGGAGAGAGGGGGACAAAGTAATCGGTTACACACGGCTGAATGCCTGATTGAAAACGTAATCTGCGTTATCTGTATTAGTCTGAGGAGATAAACGAGTTTCTGCTGGATGTGGGCAATAGCGAATAATTAAGACGTAACAAACTCCTGGTTGTATAACATTAAGCAATATAATTTATTTTACCTTTTACAACATTATTTAATCTGATGTTTGAAAACGGTTGTGTACTGACTTGTAGTAGGTCCCTGTCCCTTTTATTTAAATGCGTTAACCTTGACTCACCACTGTTAATTATATTTTTGAGTGGGATGGCCTTCTTTGTCCACCAGAAGGTTTGGCCCTCTTACATCTGCCGTTTACTCACACAAAGAGATGTTGGTTCATATGGTTTGGATCGAATGATATTTTGTTCCTTTTGCCCGCACAGAACTGGGAAAAAAAGCTTTTGCATATACAGTACTGCTCCTTCTACATGGAATGTGTTGCAAATAGACTGGAAATTATTTCATTGAATGCTTTTAGATCGACAGTGGCTCAGTTGATAGAGCATTAGCCTTTTAGCCTGAAGGTCATGGGTTCAAGCTCACCATAAGACCTACTTCACGACTCCCACTGATGACTGCTGTCACTGTGTCCTTGGGAAAGTCACTTAACCCCACTTTGCCTGAAGCCCCTCTGAAAGATCTCAGCTCCTGTGGACTCAGCACCTGCAGGAGGATCAGTGAGGGGCTGGTGCTCTGTGGACTGGGTGCAGCTCTGACTGCCACCCCCCCGACCCAGAAATGGATTAAGGGGAAGAGAATGGATGGATGGATGGGCTTTTAGATCCAGATTGAGAGCACTTGAGACATCCTCAATGAAATGTAACGGTTTTTATAATCCATAATTTTATGAAATTGTATGTAACTGTTTTAAAATCTGTTATATTTTATGTAACTGTATGTAACTTTTGTCAAGGACTCCCTTTAAAAAGAGGTTCTTAATCTCAATGGGACTTTCCTGGTTAAATAAAGGTGAAATAAAACTAAATATTTATTAATATAGCACCAAGTCATACAACACACTTCACAACAGGTTAAGCTACGTAATACTTTATCGTCCCGTTCTCTGCATTTGACCCACCCTAGGCCTCTGTCACCCTAGGCCTCTATCACCCTAGGCCTCTGTCAGGAGGTGGCGTCTGATTGATTGGTTTGGTCACAACTGGAGCTGATGGATTTCACCTACATATTATAGTGGTAGGGGAAACTGGAACTTCTGGAGGAAACCTACACAGACACAGGGAGAACATGCCATCTCTACTGAGAAAGGCCCAGCTCCGACTGGATTCAAACCCAGGACCTTCTTGCTGGAGAGTGAAATGTTAACCACTCTACCACTGTGCAGTCAAGCCTTCCGTAAAAGCCAAAATGAACACCAGTTTTGGATCATCAAACGATTTTTATAACTTCCGTGTGCCCTGAGACGACTGCCAAAACAATCGCAGACATTCTCCATTCTTGCATCCTTTAGAAACTCTTGAAGCTCGAGTTCTTGACCCTTGAGAGTTTTACAGACGGAAAACTGAGCATGCGGCGGTGCCCCTCCCTGAGTGGCACTAGACAGAATTGTAGTAAGTGCATTCCATCGTCAAAGGAAGACAAATGAGATGAGGTCGGGGCAGGTTATGTAAGTGCTTGTACACATGGCCTCAAAAAGCAACTCTGCCGACACAAAGAAGGACAGGTCTGGCTCTCCTGACTCTCCTATCTGTGTTCTGTTTATATTTTTGTTAGGCACATCCTGAAAAACATGCATTAGCTGGATTAGTGCAGTGCCCTTGTATTCCTCTAGTGGGAGCTGAAGTAAAGTTATAAATTATGGCCACATTCCTTTTAATGTTTGTTGTATGTTTGTGCCAAATATTCTATACTTATTTATACTGGGATTACTTCTCATTCTCCTCCAATATTTTTCTGTTTAATCCAGTCATGGTGGAATGTGATTTCATTGTGAAAGCAAACGACCAAAATCACTATTTCTACCATCAATCTTGGTTTAGTCCTGGTTTAGTCCTGATTAAGGCATAGTTCTCTCCTGGTTTAGTCCTGGTTTAGGCATAGTTGTTTTTTGGGGTTTGAAAGTTATGCAGTCCAGCTTTAGCATCAGAAATTCTTGTTTTAAAGGAGACAGATTATACAAAATATGTGTTGGGCTTTTTGGCTTGTTATAATATTTTTCCTAATCAAAACTAGATGGACATGATCATAGTTTATGTTTTGCCGTTTGAATGTTAGGCACCCCCCAAACATGAACTCCAGTTATGTCCAAACCAAAGCCAGAGGGCCAAATGTGGCCATATCACTACTTATTTCTGTCTCTGATTGGATAATCTGCTTGAAATAGATAAACAATATAACATTCCCATTATATTTTTTATTGAGAACTAATTCAATTTAAAACTTTGTTCATAAAAGGTTAAATATTATTTGTACATGGCGACCTGTTATTTGGGACACATAAAATATGTTACATACGGTTCTTTTGCCAAGTTTTGCAGTGTAGCCAAAAATAAAACTGTTTCTGGAGCAAAAAACTCATTGCATGGATTGTCTTAGATTTTGTCTTTTTTTTATCCATAAGGGGAATGCTAAATCGTGGCATACTTTCTCCAACCCTCACCCAGCCTTTCTTCTATAGTCGTCAGAGCTCAGACCACGGGGGGAAAGCTCTGCGCTCTTAAATGTTGTTTTTCTGCACATTAATGTCAGCAAATCCACCGGTGACTGGTGATGGATTACAGCCGCTGCTCTTACAGG